TCTGTCCGACTTTATGATAAACCTGGAAATATGACCATTCGCTTTCAAGTTGGTAATCCTGATGTGTGTCATAAATGTGTGCTGTAAAATGCAACCACACACAAATACTTAACCATACACACACACTCAAGCACACAATTATTCCATACAGCACAGTGGAGAAATGAAATAACAGCAGCAAGTGCTGGGGAGGCCATTTAACTTTTACAGCTACATTGGAACAAGGTGAATTTGACTTCCCAGACACAGAATATATTTAGGATGGTCCAAAGAGATTTTGTTCATACTGTACTGTCAATAATCAGTGGAGAACTGCAGCTCAAAGGTTATATTCGGATTGCTTGCCAGAGAGCTGCATTTTGGAGCATTCCTGTTAATTGGAGATCTTTTTCCTCCTTTTCTCCTTCATTCCAAGAGATGGAATTCAAAAGCATTTTATCTGATCTGAATCCACTTATGAATCTGTCAAATTCCTCATTTTGGTTCAGTGTTCAACATCTAAAATTTCACTTAAAAATAACTCAAATCAAAACTTTGGTTGAGTCAATAGAGATAGCAGAATACAGCCTATTTTACAACAGAGAAATTGATAACATAACGTATTTTTATGATGAAAACTGCTGGTAAAACTGTTAAAATGCTGTTCCAAACTGCTTTTGAAAATGCCCAACACTGGTGACAGTGTCCCAAAAGAGGCTCAGGACATTTAGAAAAAACACAGTCAACTCCTCAATATTTATGTATAAAACTGGCGCTGACCACTTCAAACAACGTTCCATGTGAGCACAGCCATTCTTCCCCTAGCATTGTGTGAAACCTTCCTCACCGCTGTCCTCCCTTACAGAAATACTTTTCTCGGCACCGTTCCGGCAGCATAGTGAGAACCAGCTGCAAATTGTGATGTAGGCAGTCATATAGCAGTCATGTCGTGTGAGTTGACTGCCAACATATACAAGCATGTGAGTGAGGCAATAGTACAATGGATGAACCAACGGTTGACAAGGCGTCTCAATTTCAGCACTATTTGACAGGTACAGTAAAGCTGACATAGTTGTGCATCGGTCCTAAATCGACTGTTTAGTAAGGTGTGCTACACTGATCACAGTCTGTCCAGTCATAACTCCTCCACAGATCACCACTATTGTGTTTTAGAGAGAAATCAGAACTATCACATTTATAAATGTGGGTGTATTTTGGTTGGTGTATCACCAAGATATCTCCTTTAGAAAATTAATTTGGCAAAATATTAAAAATGTTCAGATACAGCTGCCATTAGTAGAAAGTGTAAGCACATACAGTAGTGGCTATTTGGCATAAACATGCTAAACCACTAATATGGACATTTAAAGCTTTATAATTTTGTCATGTAATCACTGTTAGATGTTTACTTTGTCTGTCTGATAGTTTATTCAAATTAAACAACACTATCTGCGCTCCTCACATAAAGAGAATGCTAATACATTTAGCAAAAAACTCAACCCTATTCAAATTTTAATTGAATCAAACTACCACTGGGTGATTGCCAAACAAATTTAAACTGTTCTATATAGTTCAAGACCTCCCCAACACTTAGCTTAACACAGCACTTCAAAGAACAGCACAGCACGATAACAAACCATGTAGACAAATACTGTGAGAGAAGATAAAATAAGATAACTGGTAGGTAGGCAGGAAGGGAAGCGCTAGTAAATTAAAAATGAGGTCTACAAAGAGGAAAGGATGTCGTTCTTCATGAGTTCATGTTATTACCTATCATTCAGAGAGTAAGGCTGCTACTGGCTCTGCACTTACTTCTCTCTTCAACTCAAAAGGAGGAAAGAGGAGGAAGAGAAGAAGGAAGAGGGAGGCTCTCCAAACCAAGAGGAACTAAAGGAGGTGGGTGGTGGGTTGGGTGGATAAGAAAGCGTGGGGGCGAGTTGGGTGAGTGGACGAAAGGAGGGGAGGAGTGGTGGAGAAGAGGAAGGAGGTGGCAGTGGGATTCTTGGGAGATCAGAGAAATAGACTGGTGATAGGCAGCAATGTTCCCTCTAAGGCTGTGGACCCACTACAACATTTTTATATGACCTGATGCTGAGTAATTTTTAGACATTAGACTAGGGTGGAGTACACTGAGCCCTGGTTTGAGGGCATTTTTAGATGGCTTTGTGATTTTGTAAATTGCATTTTGCAATGCAAATTATTTTCAGTCCTGTTATTAGGTGCAAATTAACCAAAATGTGTGAACCTAATGACTGCTGGTGAAGCCAAACATCAAACTGTTTATCTGCTCTTTTCTGGTCTTTTGGTACCAGGTTCTTATATACAATACATAGAGATGAAAGAGAAGATAAAGTTCCATCTGATTGTTCTCAACATAACTTCCACAAAATTTATTCTATAATGACCTTTTAAATGCCTATTTTGCTTTCTAAAAATTTGATTCTCACCAGATTACACCTCTGAAATAAATGTAGAGTAATAAGTAATTTCCTCTGAAGTGTCAATCAGAATTAGGCAGATGAAATACATATTTAAAGTTTAAGAAAATACACTGTTATAAAACCTAGTTTTCTTTAGGTTCAACATGTGCATAATGTTTCCAAAGTCAGTGAGTTAAATGTTAGTTAAATAATCATGATCATAATATAGATGAAAACAAAACTGAGTATGATTTTTTTGCCATAATTGAGTAGCCCTAGTTCAAATGTGAATTAATAGAAGATAATATCTGATCATTTACATCAAATTGAATGATTGTTGGTGGTCTGTGATCCTGTGTATTTACATAATAGGGACTGATAAGGCCCTGGAAATAGTAAGAATCCCTTCTTTTTTAATGTTATCAGAATGGCTCAAAGCTGTCTTTATGTTGATGAATGTGGTCTAGAATGAATAATGCGTAAGGCTCCTATATTACCAGCTCTAGTGTGTCCTCAGCCTAGACCAGTGATATCCAGTCATAGTTTCCAGTCATAGTTTCCAGTCATAAATCTGCAGTTGTCATTCCAACCAAACACTAAAGAAATGCAGGGAATGAGTTGAACTGGATTTGACCCAGACCTGTCCACCAAACTGGGGTGCAGATCCAGTGATCTTTGGATGCATTTAATAAAACTGCTGATTTAGAAAAGCATGAAAAAACTAACAGACATAAAATCAGGGATGCCCCTGTCCTAAGCAGCCTTAATTATATATCCACCCTTTTTTAATATTTAATTCGCCAGCCACCTTTACAGTTTTCATGCAAAGGACAGTGCTGTTAGGTCTTGGTGACTATGGAGCCATGAAGAGGTACACAATGCAGGAACCAGGCTTCAGACTTATCACCTTCCCAGGAACCCAGAAACTTAGGTGTCAAGATGTCCAGCTTACAGAAAACAGGCATTATATAAGACATTTAGCTATGGTATTAAATTAACCTGATTTCTGCTGTCATTCATATTGACAAATGGCTCTTTCAGCTCATTATGCTGACCTTGGAATGACAGAATAATGTAGTGTTCTTATTTGGTTTTTGGTTTTTCTACCCAGTGCATCTCACCTTCTGCTTTAGGCTTTATTAGATTCAACCAAATATTATGCTAGTGTCCTCTTCTTTTAGATTATAATTTGATGGGTATTTTCCCTCTATTGGGAGGTATTGAGCAGTGAGTGTCCCAGTGCCAACATTGTTAAAGTAGTTCAACAAATGTTGAGTTTTCAGTTTAATCTCAAGACCTGCCTTTTCTTTCAAGCACATTTTGATACAGCCTGCCCTGATTTGTTTCTATTTTTTAATCTTTTAATAAATTACATATTCATATGCTTTTGTCATTATATGTTTGTATGTATGTTTTATTTTGTACATTCTGAAGTAGTTTGAAATTCTGGTGTGGCAATGTGATATATAAATAAAGATTTCTCTGGACATTCAGCTGCCTAGAGAAGTCCCAGAATATTTCTGTACTTGATTACTTGTAAAAAGTAGTGCACACTTTTGCTCTCTCTGCTCACTGACTGACTGGAAGGGGCATCACTAAACCTCCACCAGGCACTTTTAACTTTTTCTTGGTAGACTGAACTAAAGCAATATCTAAAGCAATAGTGTTTGAGGCTGTTTCAAATCACTCTCACACCTGTGCTCTCTATGTCAGCCTGATTGGCTGTTCTCCTGAAATGATCTGATGAACCAGAGATAGACTAGTGAAACAGCAAAAACTCCTGAAGCCTGCACCATGTCGTCCCCTAGGTTTGTCAGGCTAAACAAACCAGGCTGCTATCCCATATGTGACTTGCTTTGTATTTTCTCTCTCTTTGCTATTTACATGTGTAAATATTATAAATAACTGTATATCTTAAAAAAGTTGGCATGACTCTTTTGTGAAAGTAAATCTTTTAAGATCAGAGTGCATGAAGTTCCAAAGAATTATAGATCGTCTTAGTGTCTGGAAACAATGTTCAAATATTTCCAAGTCCTGTTCACTTTGAATACTATGCTTAATTTATTATTTATTGACTGGACAGATCACAAGTTATTAGTAGCACTAGCAAGTTATAACCATGAGAATCTTTCCCAAAGATTGTGGCAATAGAGATGGTTCTCACTGTAAATTATAAATCATTCTGGGAATGCTTAAAAGGAGCTAACATGCAAGATAACATGCATGGAATGACTTTGGCCTTGAGATAATCTAAAGTTTTAACTGGTCATTCCTGCAAACCTAGTACTTCATGACTTATGTGTTTCAAAAATGTTAACAAAAACGGTCAAGACAACAGCTATGTGTGTTGTAGAACTGGTGGGTGAGCTCTCTATAATGTCTGGATGTCCACTCCAGTAATGGTTTCCACTCAGTGGTTTGCCACTAGTCAAAGAAAATAGTGTTTGGTAGGACTGAAAACCTTAAGTCTTACAGAACTGGACATCACGAACTTAGAGGAAACATTTGTGAGGAAAGTAAGTCGTGGAGAAAGGGGAGTCAACAGAGGGGAGGAAGGTGAATTGACTGGTTTTGGATGCGAGTTGGGGAGGAATTATTTACCTGTAAGAAATGGCAAGAGTGCTCCTGCTGCTGACTGCCCTTAGATTTGACTAGAGCTCTATCTAGGTTTAGGTTACCGGATCCTGCGCTGGCTTGTAGCTGGTTGTGGCTGCTGTTGTTGGTGTAGACCTCTCGGGCCCTGCTCACCGTTAGACTCGACGACCATGCCCCTTTCTTCACAAGGGGCCCTTCCACATGACCCAGTGGCAGCAAGGGGCCACTTCCTCCAGTGATACCGCCACCGCTGTTATTGCTGCTACCACTAACTGGCACACATGCTGATGATGCTGTATACTTCACATCGTTGTTGCTCCGGGAGGCTTTCAGTGCAGAATGGTGGTGTGTGTGGCCATGGTGTGCGTGGATGTGTGTGTGTTTGTTGAGTGTGCCGTAAGGGTCCATCATGAAGTACTGCTGCGACTGTGAGGAGGAGAGACTGGGGAGGGGAGTCTGGGGAAACTTGTCGGGGTTGTTGCTGGGGTATCGGCCCATTGTCATGGCGATGGGCGAGGGGGAAATGGAGGGTGAGGGTGAGGGTGGAGGTTGGTGGTGGTGAGGGTGGTAGAGACACAGCTCCCGTTCCAGGTTGTCATCTGAGCTCCAATATCCAGAGCCTGGAGCAGATGCTGAGCCGTGGAGCTGGTGGTGGTGGTGGTGGTGGCTTCGATGCTTGGGCTCTGCTGATCGACAGCGCTCACGACTCTTGCTGCGCTTCCGGTGGCGCACTCCCACTGGTGGAGTTTCACCCTCTGGGCTGGCCCTTGAACCACCACCACCACCTCCTCCACCACCACCACCACCATTAACGCTCACATTATTGGCCCCCTTGGAGGACTGTGTGTGATGTGGGCCCTCCAGTGAATGTGATTTGGTGAAGAGTTTCTGGACTGAGTGGACCAGGTGGCGAATTCTCCCTGGGCTGTCATTGTTGTTGTTGTTGGCCCCCATACCCCCACTATGGGCCAGGACTCCTCGTTTGTACTGCAGTGTATGGTAGCCATCTCTGGAAAATGACGGCTGACGCTCAAACGGGTCAGCAAAGTTTGCTGGTACCCGAGTGGGCGTTTTACCTCCATAGCCTCCTGCACCTCCTTCTCCTCCTCCCCCTCCTCCTCCTACATATGGTACCATGGCCATACACTCATCCTTTACCTCAGGATGGTGAGATGAGGAGGTGGAGTGGCACCTCCTTGGAAAGGTTCCATATGGGACGATGGCGTTGCCGTCAGAGGGGTATGAGGTACGCTGAGCATTATAGTAGGATAGCTCAGCTGGATGTGGCATGGGAATGGGCACAGGCATGTCCATCTGAGTGATAAAATATGGCTTGCGGTCAACATGGTGACCCAGTGCATCATATGATGGTTCATAGGAGACCACATGATGGTGACCCCGACTACTAGAGAGGCCTTTCATGACAGGGGGAAGGATGGGTGGATGGAAAGAGGAATGATATGGATGAAAGATGCCAGGCAGGCCCGTGATTAGTGAAGGGCTGCAGAAGACTGTCCCTGAGAGGAGAGCTGCAGACTCTGGAAGACAGGAAGAACAACAAGACAAACTATTAATGCAAGGCAGAAAGTGCAACACAAAACTAGTCATACCATGGAGATGACAAATGGATTAATTAGCGTAGATTAGTGTTGAAAAAAATTAACAAGGAGTAAAAACACGCCTGTGATTCAACTTAGTACTTTACTTTCAGTTTCATTCACAAACCTATCAATACCACATATCGACTTATGATATACAGGACTGTGGGGAAACAGTCTATCTCAGAATACATTGGGTAAGAGGCAGATAGACCTCAAACAGTTTGCCAGCCTATCACACATAACATATTTACACTCACATTCATACCTACTGGCACTGTAGAGTCTCCAGTTCACCTTGCCTGCATGTGTCTGGGCTCAAGGTGCCCAGACTAAACCCACACAGTCACATGGACAACAAATTCCATACAGAGAGGCTTGGGAATTTCTTTTCTGTAAGTTCACAGGTTAACACAGTTGTTTTCTTGCTACAGCATGTGATGCTACACTGTAAACATTAACCTGGAGTTTACTACAAAATAATGAGTGGCCCTAACTCAATTTGTTTGACTGTTATCAATGCTCATTTTGAATAAGTTACTAGAAAAGCTGACCAACTCAATGTAATAATAAGTTGGAGAAATTATGCTTTTTCAGGGATGGGATAACATTTAACCTACAGTACACTAGCATGCTTCCCAGCAAGCACTGTTCCAGAGACTTTTTTAATTTTCAAAAGCCCATTCATGATGGAAATGTTGTGTGTCTGTAATACATATCAAATTTCATTATGTTTGTTTCTTTTTAAAATTATGAAAACAATGCAAACCCTGAAAAAAGTCATTTTTGCATTCAGTCCCTACCCTCGTACATTTACAGTTGAACAAAGCCTCTGGGGGCAGCCTTGCATGCTTTCTTTGTATTGACTGTGGTAACAAAGTGTTTCCAACAGTTGCAGCTAGTATTGTAGTCAAGATCACCTAAACTGAGACCAGGTCAAGACCTATGTGTATTGCGACCAAGGTCTCTGGTCGCACTGAAGCTGCTGGGGATTGGCAATGCTTCAGCCATCATCTGTGGGGTGACCTGGGAGTCCCCACCACTGCTGGCAGCTTGCAGCACTGCCATGTGGGGAAAGGTGGCATCTTGGCCCTTCACTCAATGGCAATGCCAACACTCCTCGCGTGGGTGTCAGGACAGGGCATGTTGGCATGAAGGTGGCCAGTCTGGTGCAAACCTCAAAGTTGCGATACCTTGGTTGGGTCAGTAGACTTCCCTGGTGCACTGATGATGTGGCCCAGGAAGAAGGTCTTTCTCTGGAGCAGGTAGCACTTCCTGGGGTGCAAGTGTAGGCCAGCTTGGAAAATGTCTCTCAGGTTGGCTAACACATTCTGGGCATCTGCAGCATGTGGCTGGAGAGGCAGCAGCCCTATATA